CATTCTTCATCTATCTCAATCTGATAATCTTTTTAAACTGGTATTAATATATTGGGAATAATATCTAAGAACATGAAATATAAATTAAATAAATATAAAGATGTTATATTTATTTCATTTACACTAACTGCTTATTATTATATATCAAGTATAATGTAAAATAGCATTTTTTTAATTTTATTTTATTAAGCATGAATATACAAACATACTTTAGAAATGAAAATTAAAATGATTTCTGAAATCACTTTTCAGAAATCATTTTAATACCATATATTTTAAACTTACAATTTTAAATAAAATTGTGTGATTAAAATTATTACTCACTTTTTAAAACTATTTCTACTAATTGGGCTGCAATTTGAAAATATTGTAGACCTACAAATTCCCATTGTCATCTGTCTGTCTTTCCTTAATCTCAAAAATTGAGTTAGATAGATGAAATCTGAGACCAGATATGAAAACTTTAGCAGCAAGAAGCCCCAATTAACTATATATGAACTTCTGATGCAAACTGGAAGTCATGTTATTTTAATTCAAAAATTTTCCCCTGAAAGATGTTAGATAAATGACAGACATGACTATTGATAAAGGAAAAGTATGACGTAGAGGGGCAGCCACTACTAATTTGAGGCGAAGAGCATAGATTTTAAATGAAATAAATTGAAAATATGATTAAAAATTGCAGCTTGGCATTACGATGATGTCACAATAAATAACTGCTTGTATAATAATATATTTCAACAAAAATAAAACCAAAGAAAAATCTTCAAATTTTATTTATATATTATATATTTTTACTTTTATAAATTTACTGTTTTACTTTAAAAAAAAAGGTAAATAATATATTGCATTTAAAAATTTCCCATCTTTATAAGTGTAATTTTAAAAAATGTATTAAGAAACTTAAATAACCAAACTTTATAGTTATTATTAATACATTAACAATAGTTTGATCAATATAGGAGAGAAGGGAACTTTAAATATATTCATAATGCAATTCAGAATATTTATGTGTAGTATAGGAAAATAAATATGAATTTTTAGTAAATTAGTATTTTAACTTTAATTGGAGAAAATTATCTTTATTATTGAGTCATTTAAACACAAACAATTAACTAAAGCATTGAAGATGAAAAGAAATTTCATAATTTCAGTAAAAAACTGTAATTGAAGAACATTAACACCAATGACATGAAGTTAAACAAGCTAAGTGTAATAAGTGTCTATGCCATAATAAATATTAATAATAAAATTATCAATATATCTAATTGCATCTTAATCACTATATTTGTGAGAGAGTTATAAGAAAAAAAATGTTATAATTAATATTAAGATATCAATATTTTTAAATAAATCTGCTGGATTAACATTTTTAATACTCCAAATTTCAGGTTATGATCTTCAAATAACATGTAAATACTTTCTTTCTAGATGTATTAATTTCTATAAGAGCTGAATATCAAATTTTAAATATTTGTACATTGATGTTAATAAAATTCTAAACTAATATTTATTCATAGAAAACATTAGTAATGCAGTATAATGATATAAACATGATATATGAGATTTAAGTTTGGAAAATTACTAATTTCACAATATATATTTTTTTTTATAATTCAGGCTTATACAAATTACATGCTATTTATTTATATGAATTTTGGTTAATAAAGTTTCAATGTTGCTTTATGTTATATTTAAAAAAGTTTAGATTTAATTATTGCTTCATAACAACCAACAAAAATAAATATGTTTGAACAAACTTGAAGATTTTTAAAATTAATATCATCATAATTTGTTTTATCATCATTGTTTTATTGTGTATTTTTTTTACTTTTGTTTGCAAATGATATCTATTATATTTTATATATTCTACGAAATTAAGTAATTTACAATAATTATTACAATTATTATTATTAAAAATTGCCTAATAAAATATTTTAAAACACATCAACACACAGAAATATATCATCCATCATATATTATTATTATTTTCAAATTACTGATGTAATATTAAACATTTAGTAGTCAAAATAACTTTATTATGAATAACTTGGATATTATTTGATTAATTTTTATGACAATTCCTAAATGTCTTCATTTTTGAATTAAATAAAGAAAAATGACATAATACATTGTTATTACAAAACTTAAAGAAACATTAATTTTTTTATGAACATTGAAAAATTAAATCACTATTTAATAAAATACTGCTTATTATCTTCCGAGTTAAAATTCAATACTCCATCTAAATTTGATTTGGAGTAAATTATTTATTATAAAAAAATTTTAAGTTTATTTATGACAGTTTTCATATAGACACACAATTACATTAATAACTACACTATTGTAAATAATATATATATTTTTTAATTTGCAGTCAGTAATTCAAATTAAAGTTCAATATATGCAAGGATTATTCAGTTACTAAATTTTCTATTATAGAAAGTTAACCTCATAAATTCTTATAAATTACATTTTCCTTTTCTTCAAAGAAGATCAAGAGGGAATATTTGAATTTTAAAAACATATACAAACTAATTATTTGCATAGTTAAAAGGCAACTATTTTACTTCTTAACAAACTACAGTCCACTGCACTTGATACTATAGATATTTATTAATCTATAAAACATTATCAGAAAATAACATGAAAACATTAATAATAAAAAAGCTATTATTATTCAATATGGATTATAAAAAAACATGAGAGTGTCTAGTCTAAATAATATAAAAAAAATTTTTTTTTAATTATATTTTTTAATATTTTAATGTTAATAATATTAAGAAAGTAAATATATTGTTAATGAATCCTCTACAGTCAATTCTTAATGAAATAAATAAACACATGTACAAAAGTAAAACAAAAGATATTTTTAAAATTGCAGTTAATTGAATTTAAAACATCAGCAGAAATTTATCTTCATCAAAATTAAATGAGATTTTGAAAGGATTAATCAATATATTTTAATCAAGAAAACCATTTAACAAACAAAGTCAGTTATGTTATTTAATAAAAACAGAACATCTATTAATTTAGATCAGTGTTTTCAACCTGTGGGTCGCAACCCCCAGGGAGTCGCAAAACCTTACACAGAGGGTTGCGGGTAAAAGAAAAAGACAAGTGTTTGTAGGTCCTGCACTACAATAAAAAAACTACAATCTTAGTGAGAAGGCTGTGCCTGTTTATTTTACAATACAATTGGTTTTTTGATTGATATTTAGGTCTCAACAGAAAGAAACTTAAATACGTAGTTTTTAAAATCACTAATAGTTTTAATATAGCCCTGGGGTCGCCAGAATTTTTTAACTTGTAAAGGGGTCGCTTACTGAAGAAGGTTGAAGAACACTGATTTAGATAGACAGAATAAACATAAGTTATGAAAGAACTAAGCAAATTCATGAATTTACAAGTTATAACTATAAATTTACTATTAAATTTAACTATAATTAACTACTAAATTTTTGATTGAATATGATAATTCAAAATAATGTAGCAGAATAAAAACATTAGTAATTGTCTTAATACCACATAATTTGCAAATAAGAAAAAACACACGAGAACTTTTATATAACATGGATATGGATTCTCTCTCTCTCTCTTTTTTTTTTTATTTTAAATTTTTGGTTTTATTAATTATATTTGTATTAAAATCAGTTTTAAACATATATATATATATTAAAAAAAAATTAGATATTGAGATTCTTCAAACAGAATAAAAAGTTAGGATGCATTTATATTGTAAATAATTATATGCATTTCATTCAGTACAGAGATTAAACTCCAATGTGAAAATATATTTAGATATAGAAAAACATATATATTAATCCTATATTAACTCATGTTATAAAGTAAATACAATTAGCAAAAGGATACAATTATTATTTTAAATATTGTCAATTGAAAACAATTGCTACAAAATTAATGAATAATCTTTTTTATTTTACAGAAAAATTGTATTATCTGATAATATGATGAAAGTTGTTATTAAACAGTAAAAATGTAAACTGTAATACTTTTATAATTAGATTTCAGTGTGAGATCAATGTTTCACTGTTTGCACAAAAAATGATAGTTTTACAAATGCATAATTACTACTTATATGCCCAGATGTGATCACAGCAAAATAAGGAAATAAATGCTGGGCATATCTTTCTTTAATTCAATATGAAACTGTGCTTGACTCTTATTCTATAAAATGTTTCTGTTGAACATTTTAAGAAAATACAAAAAATGCATATTCATTTAAACATAATTTTAAATGTGGGAAAAACATGCATTAAATCTTATATACATTTTTGGAATGAGTATTAATCATCACAAAACATTCAAATCAACATTTATATCATCATCAGACTAGCATTATATTGGTAGTAGTATATTCTTTTTATATAGGAAAACACTGTGATATAAAGTCTCAAAATATATAAAAAAGATTTTTTCCAATTTGTACTGATAAAATATGGTTACTGAAAAGGGAGATAACTTATTTCTCTCAACTGATATTCATTATCAATAAAAAACATAATGTGAATTCATATCAGTGGTGCAAAATGCACAATTATCTAATAGAATACAGCAGAAATTCTCATTTATAAAATCTGCAATATGAAAAAAGCAGATCATCAACTAATAAACCCAGAGATAGATTACAACCTGGAAAATGGATAATGACTAGGTAATCCAGGTTATGACAATTGGATGATGTATTTCTCCCACTTAACAAATACAGCATTTTTTTTTATTTAATGGAAATTTACATAGGTGAATTTATAATACAAGTTCTCCAATTAAAGAGAATTCTAATTTTTTTTTATTGTGGTTTATTCCAGTCATATCTTACTGGTCTAAATATCTTTCCATCAAATTTAATTGCAGAAGTTTTTCTGTATTAAAATATAATTTCCATAAAATAAATTCAGCTTAAATTAAAAGTATAACCTATACTACAAAAATCATAAATTTACATTGATATTTTATAATGTATAATTTCTTAATTTTTAAGGAAGAAAATGTGGATATTAGAAAATAAAGCAGTTACTATTTCATATTTATAATTGAATATAAAAATTTCAATCTGCAAAAACATTTTATAGTTAAATTAATTTAAGATTAAACACAACACATTCCTATACCCTATTCACAATGTAAATTTAAGTAAGATTAAATTAAGTGAAATTACAAAAAACACAATTAACTACTTCTTCACACTATTAAATTAAAGTGATCTATTTTGTATCACCCACATTTTTTTGAGTCATTTATACATAAATAGCTTTATTATAAGTTCAATATAAATCCACAATCTTCTCTTTTCAAATATTCATATAGATATATTTCTATTCCAGACCAATTTTCCATACAGTTTTTCTCTTCCTTATTCATATTTTGAATATAAGAGTACTCTTTGAATGAACCAATTTGTTCCTGGCCTATGATGCCAGAAACCAATTTAAGCTTGTTTGGGAAAGCAAATTAAGCTGATCCACTTTTTCAAATTAAAATTAAATCAACATTTAACTCAATTTCATTCACATTGTATTGCTTAAACTGGCTTAAAATGTACAATGTGAATAGGGTATTAGGTAATTTCATTAATGGATTAAATAAATCATATGTTATTGTGTAACTGAACCAAATGAAACTTTAATTTAAAATTATATAAAAGTTATAGAGCATTATTATTCAACTAGAAATGAAAACATTTGTACATATTTAAAAGCTAATAAGAAAGGTTAAATGAATCTTATCTATACTATAAGCAGAACTGTAATTACATCTCACAATTCTTATTTAATCATTTGAATTGTTGTTGTTGTTGTTGTTGCTGTTGTAGTAAATGACATAGATGGAAGACCTTTACACTGACCAGAGTTTTATGAAATTATGGATTCTATATTTCAGGCTATTTCATTCTTTCAATATATGAACAAAACTAGATGGGAATACACCTCGTCTTTCAGGAAATCCTTCAATGAATCCTTCCATCCAATCTTCATCATCTGTTATTTCACTTATGATAATGATAATTTCACCTTCTTTGAAAGAGAGTTCATCTTCTCGATCAGCTTCACAATCATACAATGCTCTACAACGTCTTGGTCTAAAACTATCATGGCGCTGAAAAATAAAGTTAAATTTAACTTTTATCTATAAATTTACTTCTACAAAAAATATGAATAGCAAATTAACGATCATTTTCTACTTAATTTATAATGATAGTTTACTGAATGAAGTAATCTAATACAGTCCTTGCATAAGTCTCCATTATTCTATCATTTAGTTTCAAATGCTTATAAGACAGCATGGAATTTATAACTTCTGTTATAAATACAGTATATAAAAATACACATAGCATTTAGATTTATTTACATAATTAATGCATCATTTGCATAAATTCTTCTGACTTTCTCAATTCAGAAACACAGATTTTCCTTTATTTTTTTTGTTATTTTTGCTTATTAATTTTACTGTTTCTTTTTAATCAAGGGTTTTGTTTGGAGAATAACAATTTCTTACTCATTGAACATTGTAAGGAGTCAAGTCCAAATGTTATTTTCTATTTTCAGGGCTTTTATTTAGTTATCATTATTTATTATTTTGGGAATGTTTTATTTTGTTTAAAGGACAAAAACTCCAGATAAAATTCTAAAATAATAATATTCTTACTGTTCACATGACAATTGTAATGCTGACATTGCCAATCTAACAAGGCATCTCAGATTAAGCAATCTCCAAGTGGAGTTAAATAATTTTCTCTTAATCCTTTTGTTACTGATTTAAAAAAACCCAGAGAATTGTTTGGAAAGATTGAAAAGACTAGTATAACCAAAAGATTGCAAAGAAAAAAATTGTTAGTGCATAAGTATGAAAATCAGTTAGAGTGGCATAGCTAATTGCAACATCATGCCAAGGCATATAAAAATGCTGGCAACTATGAAGATGACAAGATAAAGCTTCTGAGAGCAAGTGAATAGAATTCCAAAATGAATGCTGAAAAAATTCCCTGCCATTTTTTTGATGTGACAATTAGATGGTTTAGATTGCAAGAGTTTTCTTTTGTTGTTATTGAGTTCTATTTTATTTAGTCAAGCTTTTGTAGAAAGTGAAATTTTAAGTTAGAGTTTCCTCAATTGTTGGGAAAGCTTACATTTGTTTTGATTTTTTTGAACATTTGTTTTGATTATGTTTCTGATTTAAATTATAGTTATGAATTTTATACTTTTAGTGCACTTTATTACTATTAATGCATTTTTGTGGTTTTTACTAATCTCCTGTAAATAGTTCATTCACTTGTAATAAATTTTTGTTTTTTGTTATATATATCAACATCTCGAAACCCAACATATTGATACTAAGCCAACAATCTCCATAATTAATCAAATTAATATTATGCTGCAAAGTCCCTTCTTTATGTAGCCCAGGGTCCCTAACAGAAAGATGCCACACAAATGTATGTTGGGGTCAGTCAGTAGTTAGCACCTGAACTGAATGCGACACAACTGTGGTTGTATCAGGAAAACAGAGGTAGTCTGGTGCTGAAAGCTTCGGATTGGCGTGACAGCACATCTAAACAAAAGCACAAGTCAGGTTTATTTCACTCAAAACCACTTAAACTCAGTAGTACTAATATACAAAAAACAAACTTATACACAAGCAGTTCCCAAGACATGGGTAATGGAATATCAGCTATCTAACAACAAACAGAGGAACTGCTCATCTTACAAACAAAACCCCCAGTACTGATCCTTTTCTGTCACTGGTCACCACCAGTTATAGCTTCATCTCCCTGATGCTAGTTTTTTATGCGGTTTATATACCTCCTGGTAACAATGTCATTGCAGTCCCACACTTCTGATATAATTACCTGTCATGACGTGTACATGTTTTGTTCATGTGGAGTTGTAACGAGTGATAAAATTTAGGTTCCTTACAATGCTATAATTAATAATTAGAAACAAAATAATTTGGTACTAGAGGTAAACATTAGGTGCCATCTCCATCCCACTCTGGGATAGTTCTTTTCTTCCAGAATGTTCTAAATTACAGTAGAGCATTGATTATCCGACCCCTGATTAACTGTCACCTCGGTTAACTGATCGCGTTCTAGTCGGCAAATTCAAATGCCCGCTAGTGATGTGGCGCTACAATATTTGGCTATGTCTTGGCTACTTCGTTACCCTGGTAAAAATCAATTTTAATGAAAATTTTTGGCAACAGATGCCACCACTTGACGGTAGTGTGTTGTTTACCGTCTGTTTCACATATTTGTGTCCAGGTGGTGTTTTGTCGACTCAAAAATTTTCATTTAGCAATTTTTTTCTTAATTTAAATATTTTTTATTTATTTTATAGCATATTTACACAATAATATTACTAAAATACGTTTATTTATGCTATAATAAGTTTATATAGTTATAATAAGTCAATGTATGATAAATATTTAAATTGTGACCTTCAATTTTAATATTTTATATATTTTTTTATTTTTTATTTTTTAATTTAATAAAAAATATTAGCACATAGTAAATGTATTACTACTGGTTCATATATTTATCACAATAATTTATATTATTGTTCAAAATAAAATGAATAAAGAATATTAGTTCGTAATATTCATCGATAGCAAAATAAAGGTTAGATTCCAAACAAAGGATATATTATAATCTGTGATAATTTTAAAACTAAAAATCGTACATTCATAAATGTTATATAGAATTGTACAGAACAATATTTCAAGTCGTTCTGGCTTAGTGCCAAGAACAAACTACTTAACTGGAGTATGTGAATTTTAAAAAATGTTGCAAATTTTCACAGACAGATGTCAGGTCTGATATATTTTCATTTTTTTTTATTGAAGTTTATATTTCAATGTATTTAAAAATATCGTATATATAACTACAGATATTAATAAATTTAACATGGTTTTTGTCATATGAATATAACGATAACTTGATTTTTGGTGAATTTTTAAAACTTTATGACCTCTTTGACCTATATTGACCTTGGGAATTTTACAACCTACCTGTAAACACGTGGGCGGGGCAAACGGGAGTGTAAGGGTTAAACGAGGCTTAATTTTCTAAATTTTAACGATACAATAGCGACGATTATTATTTAAAAAAAATTTTTGTTAGGCTTAACATTGATGAAGATTCAACACGAAGTAGATTAATAGCGATATACTAATATACTAATTACATGGGTTATAATAATATACTACACTAATAATGGATTTTTTTCATACTTTTCAGTTATACGACTTTTCAATTATCCGACCAACCCCAGTCCCCAATTGAGTCAGATAATTGATGCTCTACTGTATTATTATTTTAGATAAGAGATGGTGCCTAATGTCTACCTCTAGTATCAAATTACTTTGTTTATAATTATTAATTATAGCATAATATTAGTCCAATTACAGTAGAGCATTGATTATCCGACTCAATTGGGGACTGGGGTTGGTCGGATAACTGAAAAAACGGATAACCAAAAAATATGAAAAAATACATTATTAGTATAGTATATTAGTATATCCCATGTAATTAGTATATCGCTATTAATCTACTTCGCGTTGAATTTTCATCGATGTTAAGCCTAACAAAATTTTTTAAAAATAATAATTGTCGCTATTGTATTGTTAAAAATTATTTTTAAATTATTTTATTGCTCACAAAACAACCAACCACTCATAATTAGAAAATTAAGCCTCGTTTAAATACTGGCCTTCCTTTTAATGGTCGAGCCAGTGTTGCCAGCTAAAACACACAAAAATTTAACAAAAATAATATTAAAGTAGCCAAGACATAGCCAAATATTGTAGCATCACATCACTAGCAGACATTTGAAATTTGCCGACTAGAATGGTCGGTTAACCGATGTGGCGGTTGATCGGGGGTTGGATAATCGATGCTCTACTGTAATTACAATGATCATTTGGCTTAGTTTTTCATTACTGACCATTGTCAATTATTTCAGATATTTTTCCTCTAATTGTGTTTCAAACTAATCTGTTCATTTTGTTTTTGCCCATTTCCAAAGTCTAGGTCAGGCAACCAACTGATTCTTTGCAGTTACTACTTAAAAATGTAACACAAATGTTTTTGACCCACTTCTAGGGTCTTCCACAGGTATAACCTCAGATACAAGAACTGGAGACCTGAACAGTTAAAAATTGTAATTGCACCAGAAAAACTTATAAAACACCTGAGGAAGACCCTAGAAGTGGGTTGAAAACATTTGTGTTATGTTTTTAAGTGTTACTGCAAAGCTATACAAGGTTAGTATGACGTACCATTGAACAGTGTGTTACAGCATTACCAGATAAAGTATTTTACAAAAACACACAAATAGTTTAATTATATTTTAAATTAAATAATGTAAAATTATATTAAATAAATTTAGAAAGTAACACATTAACGAATATATTATAGCAATACATGAGTTTTTACAAGATTATCTAATAAAGAAAATTTATATCGTTCTCACTCTTTCAGAAATAACTGTTTAATAAACAAATGTTTTCAGCCACATTCAGGTGCTTGTGTCAGATTAAGCTTATATGAAATCGAACATCTATAGTGAGTTCCTCATAGACATTTGGTTTTTGAGAACTCACTACAGATGTTTGATTTTGTATAAGCTTAACCTGACACAGGTCCCTAAATGTAGCTAAAAACATCTGTTTATTAAACAGTTACTGCTGAAAGAGTGAGAAAGATATGAATTTTCTTTATTATACAATAGTTCCAGCCTACAGATTATTCAGGAAGTTTAATTATCTAACATTATAAATTTACAATTATATGGTAATAATATTTTGCTTTATTTACCTTACGTGGTGGAGGAATAGGTGTTTGAGTTTGATTACTATCACTGTCAGAAATAATAGAAAGCAAACTTTCAGTAGACTGGCCATTATTTAATTTTTCAGAACTACAAGAGATACCTGTAAAAATCAACATTAAAGTATATTGATATTTATGTAGATCTTTTAATTATTATGTTAAATAAATTCTAATTAATTTATATTCTATTCTTAAAATAAAATATAAGTATTTACTATTTAATCATGTTTAAAGACTATGTTCAGAACAATTTGTCCTTATAAATAAACAAACTATTTATTTTATTGGATTTTCTAATCAATAATAAACCATAAATTCACACTTTTAATTTTTCACACTCATCTTCATAAGTATAAAAATTAAATTCTAAATATAAATGAGCAATTATTTATTGTGACATTGTCACAATGCTGGGCTGCAATTCTTTGTTACAATGTTCTCAAGTTTTTTTAGTTCTGTCTTGCCCAGGTACAGTACATCATACTTTTCCTGTTAGTAATAGTCATGCCAGTGACCTAACTAACTTAGTTTGGGAAAAAACTTTTAAAGCGAAATAAAGTAAATTCCAATGCAAACTGGAAGTTTGTGTATAGTTAATCAAGACCTCCTGCCCCTAAGCTTTCCACATCTAATCTCAACTTTCATCTATCTAACTCCATTCTCAAGATTAAGGATGGACGACAGATGGAAATTTATAGATCTTCAACTTTTTCAAATTGCAGCCAATAAAAATTCAAATTTCAATAACTATTTATAATAATATAATATGAAACAGATCTTTAACCAAAGTTTAAAGCAGGCCTTCCAAATGAGTCAATCTTGAAGGATTTGCAGCTTTCTCTGAAAACAAGCATGCCACTTTAAACTCATATGCACAACACAAGGTCTGTTCAAAAATTTCCCGAACTTTTTGAATAGTGTGTCTTCAGTTGGTTATTTTTTAATCCACTTGGAGGCGTTGTGTCTGTGGAAACCTTCTGAGTAATCTCCTTCAATCCATTTGTTGATACCTTGTTTGGTGATTAGTTATGGCTGTTTATGTGAAGGAGTGTTTGTGGGGTTTGGAGAAAAATCGGATCTGCGAAAATGAGCTCTTTGAAGGAGCAGCATTGTATGGTGAAATGTTGAGGACTATAAAATGCCTAAGAGACAGAATCAGGTGAAAATGACCCAAGCTTTAGAGGAGTGGCGAGTGGTTTTTCACCACAAAGTGCTGGCTCATTCGTCCCTCAGAACTCATGAGTTTTTGGCCAAAAACAAGACTGCTGTGCTTCCCCACCTACCATACTTATCTGACCTGGCCCCATGCAACTTTTTCCTGTTTCCCCAAACTAAAAAACCCACTCAAAGGAAAAAGATTTTTCACCATTCCAGAGACAGAGAAAAATTTGATGGAGAAGCTTATGAGCATTCTGGAAGAAGTGTTCCAGGACTGTTTCAAAAAGTGGAAACACCATTGGAATAAGTGTATACGTTGGGGAGGAGACTACTTTAAAAGGGAACCTAACCAATAAATTGTAAGTAAAGTATTTTTTTGTAATAAATAAAGTTCAGGAACTTTTTGAACAGATCTTGTAAACAATCACCACCATAGACAGCTTTAAAATCATTGATTGTCTCAGTTGGAGATTTTTTCAAGTGGTTGTAATACTTAATCATGACATAAGATTGGGAGATATGTTTTTAAATTTTAACACAGTAAAACACAATTTTAAAGTTTGATTTATGTTTAATAAAATAAAGTATCATCAATTCTTATTTAATTTTTATTTCCTATTTGTAATTTATTGTTATTATATATCAGTATAGAGAGAAGTCAGCAAATTAAATAAACTTTTAAAAAGGTGTTGACAAGCAAAACAATTGGGAATTTCTGCTCTATTTGAATTTTGATACCATGTGCTTAGTTTGCACATAATAATTCATGTAGTAATTCATCATCACCACCAATTAAGGCCTATGCCAACCTGTTGTCTACCTATCTGCCCTCAGAGGATCTTACATCAAACTATCTAACATCCACATGAACTTACAGACTGTCTACATAATCAAGGAACCAGCCTATCAAGTGCTACCAGCTTATCAATGTATAATGACTACAGGTATTTATCATTGCGCGCATAAGTGTAAACTCTCTCTCTTGGTTAGGAATCCAATACAGTTTAATTAATTGAGATGCTGTTTGATTGCTATATAGTCAACCCTATAATTTGGTGTGTAAATAAATGAGTATTATTTTTGGTAATAGAGCTTTAGTATGCACTTCTTTCAGACATGTGCTGTTTTACAGTCTCCTCCATCTCTAATCCAACCACCTACAGACATGACTGCTCTCACGTAAAATGAACATAACCGCCATTGCAATTTCTGTGTCCCTCCAGACACAGTGGTGTCAGTCCTTATGTAGCATCATGATGTGGTGTGAACCCTTCAATCACATTTAACTTTAGTAAATTAATTCAAAATACTGTATTGTATTCTAGACATTTCGATTCTCTGTTAAGCCTGAACTCTCTAAATTATACAACTTAGGCCATGACCCTAAAACTCTTAATACAAACTTTCAATAAAGTGAACTAATTACTGTCCCCCTTGCAATCTGTATTAATGTGAATTGACTGTATAGCTGTCTCCAGTTCAGTTTTAGGATTTGTAATATAATGTTAGATTAGGTCAATGAATACAAAAAGTAAAATAATTTTAATCCAGAGTTACAAGCTCACAATCTTAAATTACATAATTCTTGATTTAAATTATTATTGGAAAATACAGCCGAAAGTAACTTTTTCTTTGTTTCCATATTTTTATATTAGAGAATGAAATAAAACATTCTCTGAATATTAAGAAAATTTTCTAACACATTTAAGATTAATTCAAAGAATATAACTACACTGTGATTTATAAATTAAAAAGTATTGATATGGTAAAATATGAAAAAAATTGTAAATACTAGGTAGCTTCAAAAACTTCCTGGAATTGGTTTATTACTCTAAAGTATGTGTACAATTGACAAATCAAGAAATGTGTCTTTCAAAGTATTGTCCTTCGGCAACCAAACACTTTTGCAAATGCTGGTACAGCTGCTAAAAACATTCTTGGAAGATGTCTCATGACAGCACCTGCAACACAAATGTCGCATTCTGTATAACCTCATCTGCATTTTTGAAGTGGCATCTCTTGATGGCTCTTTCAACTGGGAGAAGAGATAGAAATCACACGAGGTCCGCCATGAGCATTTGTGGCACTGTGTGTTGGCAAACACGGTGCATGTTCAATTGATCATGCAGGATGAAATGACAACTTCCAACCGAAATTACTGCTATCTTGGTGATCAGCTCAATTGACTGCTGCCTGTCTGACCTCACAATCTCGTGTACAACCGACACTTTCTTCAGATGTTGAAGTCAACAGATGACCACTTCACAAATATCAGAGATACTTTCTTGCCCCTCACAACAGCATTTTTGCCAGTCAAATTTGACAATGCTTTGTTACAGATTCAACATAGGCATCCTGAAGCATCTTTAATGTCTCAGAAGGTATTTTCCTCAATAACACACAAAATTTGATATTTGCACACTGTTCTTCCACAAACATTTTTGCCAGACTCTGTTTCACAACATCTCACTAACATGATCTTCAGTGAATGGTAACTGTTGTTATCTTTGCAATGAGTATGGATTTATTTGAACACAATTCTCTATTCCTGAATGTTTAGCTAAGACATGCATCACATGCTCTCTTTTTTTATTGCCTTTAATTGACTAACCCAGCATAATTCAAGGAACTTTTTGAAGATACCTTGTATAACCATGAATGTACAAGTTGGGAAAGAGGAGAAAACTGCCTTTCCAAATTAGAACAAAGCAAAAACAAAAAACAGGCAAAGTGAAAAAGTTAAGTTATCAGTGATAGCAAAACATTAGTACTTATGTTTTTATTTGTGTAAAATTTCAAGTGAACCAACCTTCTCTGCCCTATAACCAAAGAATCCCATAAGCCCACAAGTATAATTGTAACAAACAATTATAAGGACTACAAGTTTATTTTTTAGAAATTATTCAGCTTTACTTCAAGCTTCAAAAGTTATTTTGAATTTTTCTCCTAAAATTAAAAACATAAAATTTCCAAATATTCTCAATATAACAATATGCTCAAATATTCTTCATTGATATAACTAAAAGCAATAACTACTACTTTCAGAATAATTTTTAAATAATAAAATTGTTTTAATAAAATTATAATAAAGATAATTACAATGGTTGTTATCTTTTATTTCCATTATTTATTTTTCAAAATACATACCCAAAGGTGTTGGAGGTGGAGGACATCTTGGCCTTTGCAAAGTACCATATACCTTGTCAACAGAACTATATTTGAAACATAATTATTAGATTAAATCTAAAATACATTATTATTCAAATAATAAATTTATTAAATGTTTTTACATTTTTCTATTCATAATTTTTTTCTACTGACCTTTTTAATGCAGGAAATTCAATTGATTTTGGTAAAACCAGTTTGCCACCTAATTTGAAAATATAAAAATTAAGTTAGGAATTATTATAATAAATCTTATTATATTCATTATAGTTGAATATGTTATTTACCCAAAGGTATATTGCCAGGACTTTGAGACCGCTGAGAAGCACCATTACTATTAGGTTCATAGGAACTACTACCTATACTAATACCACTTGAAGAACTACAGTTGTTGTTAGAAATAAGATCAGTAGAACGATTCCTCCGATGTATTACCCCAGAAGGAGACTGAGTAAGACCTGGATCAGAGGGGGTTCGACTATGTCCACTCCCAGAACCTGGGATACTTTGAACCATTGTGGGAGGTGGTGGTGCTGCACGTTTTTTAATACTCCCATGAGAATTTAGACCAACAACTATTAAAAACACATTTAAATATATTTATATATAAAATTATTATTCCAATTTTCTGGAAAGGACAAAATTCTCTTAGAGAAAAACCATGCATATCTCATCAGTGACCGAGATTTTATTTTATATAATTTGAATCATAACATTTAATTATTAAAACAAACTTGCTATAAAATTAAATATTTCCAAAATTTCAATTTTTTTCTTTTTTAATAGTAAAAAAAAATTACTTTAGAAAAATAGCAGTACTTGATGGTATCGTTATAATAATTGTCTTCTTCAGTCCAATCTGGGATAATTTTTATTTTTAAAAATCAGTGAAATAAAGCAAGCAGAACAGACCTCCCAGTTATTGCTATTTTCAATTTCAAATGTATTGATATAATATAAACTATTAATCTCATTTTTGCAATTACTTATTTACATGTAATGAAACAATTTCTAAAAAAGTTATTCTAATAAAAATATTTAATTCTTAATTTTAAATTAATTTAATTGTTACTTTCAAGAATTCATTAAAATTTCAATATGACATTTATAAAGTAATTTTTATGGAAACAATAATTATTTTTTATACCTATGCATTTAGTAGCAGTATTGAAAAGCATAAGTCATATATTGCACTAACATTAATACATTATAATTTAAAAAATACTACATTATATTATATTCAATAAATTTCCAAATAAAATGTTAGAAATAATTATCCGAAAGATTTCTCAATTCAAATTTACGGGTGAATTGTTATTTATAACTATAAACTAAAAAGACTATTCAATCAGTACTGGTAATGCTAACATTCAGTTTCTGAGCAGACAAAGATGTCAAATGATTTTAAATGGAAGTGTTTATACATAGTGGTGCAGTTCTATTCAGACAAGGAGATTCTGACAATCTTTGCTTGTTTTGTCTAGAATAATACATGTATGAAGCTTTGAACTTGTTGTAACAAGAAAGAACACAGATGGCTGGATAGTGTGAATTACATTCAGACAACTTTTGGCTTGCAGTAAGCAATTTCATCTGAGGTATACTATTATTATGAAATAAGTAAGGACTTTTCAAAAGTTACGTCTTATTTTTTAAGGAAATTTTCTATCTTCCTCATTAAAACATTGAAATCATACTGAGGCAGTCTAAAGGACTGAAAAACTTTTATGTGAAGAAAGTCCAGTATTATATGTGAATCTCTTTTTTTCAAATTAAACAAACACCACAACAACAATGTTTTATTTTCTCATCAACTTCATCCAAAAGTAATGCTATTACATATAAATCTTCAAAAGAAATGATTGAACATGTCACAGTCTGAAAGTCTGAGTATACTGTCCATATGGAAACTGTCAGTGTCTGAAAGAATGATGTAATTATATGCATGGCCAACAATAAGGCATAAATTTACCTTAGTCCAGCAATACTTAGAACTGATTATTATATTATATTCCCTGATATTATTAATAAGTAATTTTTTTTTATAACTGTTCTTTGTGGATTACATTGAAGTAATTAATAAAATTATTGTTGGCACTAAAGAAAGTTCCCTTCCTAATAGATGAGAAGTACAGAATAACTAATGTACAGTACAATGAAACNACACAACTTATTCACCACTATTAACTTATTAATACCATTGAGACTACATTTTTAATATTAACTTATTAATTTTCATTTGTAAAATTTACAAATTTACACTTAATATATTGATTTGTATTTCTACTATCAGTTGATTTTCTTAGAACAAAAAATTGATTGAAGTTTTCAATCTATCTGATTATTACTGTTTCAGAAACCATAAAAAGAATTACTTTACAATAAAAAAAAATTTATAATAAATTTGTGATTTATTTTATACACACATCCACATTACATATAATTTATATATATATATGTTCAAATTAAAATTTTCCAGAAATTTGGAAAATTTGATAATGAAACAATGAAACATCAAACAATGCTCAAATTTGTTTATAAATTTTGTTTGTCTGTTTTCTCTTCTTTTGCTTTTTCCTTTAACAGAAGTTTTTAAATTGTTTCATCATAAAGGAGAGAATAATTCTATTAAAGTAAACAGCATCCTAGATATCCCTTATTTAACAGGAACATTAGAAATTAAAAGTATTTTAGTACAAACTAATTAAAAACTAATAATCAGATATCTATGACAGAGAAATCTCTTTTGATTCACGTTAAAAACTTAAACATGTGATGTATTAGTGGCTTCTGATTTCAGAGATAAATAATATTCATCTTTCATTAGTTGTTAATCCATTAAATTAAAAAAAATATATATATATAGCGACTGGCAATGATTACAGCTGTATAGATTTGATTCTAAAATATAGCTACTATCACCACTGAAAATATCTTTCATTGTTACATTAAAAAAGTTTACAAGTTTAAAATAAAACAGACTATCCATGTTTACAATTTTTTCAATCAAATAAATAAAATGCACCAACTAAAACTGCTATAAAGTCAAACAATCAGTTTTTTTATTTACAAGTTTTATGATACAAAGAAATATGATTGTCTAATAATTTGATGATCTTGCATAATAATGATTCTACATGTTCAGCTCAGTTTTTATTTGGCCAAAACTTCTACACCAAGTTTCATGAATGTAATGACTATTATTTTCATCATATGCTTTGTGTGAGTTTTTCTGATTCTCCATATAAAAAAGCAGTAAGAAAAGATTTGACAATATAGAACTACAAAAATAAGACAGTGGTGATTTATGCAATTTCTAAAAATCATTGCTAAGTACAATGGGGTTTCTGCCTAAAAGTTTACACAAAATTTAATTTTATAAAATATAATAAATTTTCTCCTTTTTATTTTCTTATAAAAAAGAAAAATTATTTAAATTCTGGAAAGTTTAAACCAACCATAACAATGCATATTTTGATCTTATATCACATCTTCACCTTTTCTTTTTTAAACAAACAGATTGTAAATAGTTTGAAAGCATCACACATTACATTGGTTTAATAATGATCATGAAATGATTGCTTCATCAATCATTTCATGAGCATTATTAAACTAATGTAATGTGTTATATTTAGTGTAAACACAAAATCTTTTTATTTCAAATATTTTACCATATATAAAATATATAATAATAATAAAGACAATCAATTATTTATTGTGATGTTGTCACAATGCCAAGCTGCAATTTTTAATCATATTCTTAATTTATTTAATTTAAAATATATTTTCTCCATCTCAAAATGTCAGTGTCTTGCCCCTGTACATCATACTTTTCCTGATAACAACAGTCGTGCTGATCATCTATTTAATTTGATTCGGGGGAAAATTTTTGAATTGAATTCAAGTGGTCTCCAATCTAGACTGGAAGTTTGTATATAGTTAACTCAGGGCTACTGCACCTAAGATTTCTATATTCTGGTCTTGAATTTCATCTATTTTACTGTTCTTGAGATTAAGGGAGGACACACAGATGACAATGAAAATTTATAGGACTACAATTTTTTGAAATTGGAGTCCATTTATTTATTTTACCCCTAGTTTTTATCTAAAGTAAAATAATTTTATTGATATATTAATGGTATGAAAGTAATGACTTCTAGACTCAAAAATAAGTCATCTTAGGCTTAATCACTATCAACTGATTCCATAACACTCATGGAGAACCTGATAGTTGTCAAGAAAAATATATAGAAGCTTAACTGATTGCAAAATTATATTTAAGTCACCTGAAAAACTCATCTATGCATATGTGTCTCATATTTAATTTAATTTTTTAAAATTTTTAAATAAAGCATGAATAAACAAATGATTTAATACTAATGTTATTGTAGGAAATATTATGTTATGTAATGTTATGTAATGTTATGTAGGAAAATTCAGTAATTGGCTAGTGATATTAGTTTAAGCTGGAAAATGAAAGACAACTCTACTCTGCTGTTTAATCTATTAATACCTTTAACATTACATTGCTTTATACAACTTCTTTGATTTTTATATTATTATTATTTGGCAATATTGAAAAAAACTTTATGAAAACTACACAGCTGAAAAAAATCTTTAATGCCAATAGCTAAAACAGATCTTTATGAAAAGGCTATAAAAACTGAACTTTTCAACAATTTATAAATGAAAAAGTTTGCAATTATAATGAAAACATTAAACAACACTTAAAAAAATAATTTAATTATTAGTTTGTAATCTTGTCATATTATGTTAATTTCATCAACACTTTCCTAAGGTATATTTCTAATCACAAATATAAAAATTTAATGATGATGACAGCAGACAAGCACTTAAATAAGATTCACTGGCAAATAATTTGCATTCTAATAGCTTTACACATAAATTTTAAAATTGTTTTCTTAAAATTTTAAGCCATTATTTTTGTTTTTGAATAGGTAATGGTTAAAGTTTGATGTTAGTGAATTAACTAAATTACATCATCACAATAAGCCAATCAAAATATTGTTTGAAATAGTTCAAATGTAACATAAGTAAATTTAAATATATTTCAAATAAAAATAAATGTGTATACAGTTACATAAAAATTTCTACAATTAATTGCAAATTAAAAATTATATATTTAATTGAAGAAATGATGTTTTTTTCCTTCACACAAAAACATTGAAATAATGGACATTTATCCATAATTTCAATGCTTATCTCTTATTTGGGAAAATAGATTATATGATTTTATATTTATTAACATAAATTATATTTTTGCATAGATTGGAATAGAAAAGGATTTTTCAAAATAATTTTAAAAACTCTCTCTTGGAAATTATTAAAAAAAGTTGGAGAGGCCACACTAATTACCATTATTATTTTTTATTACATTTGTATGTTTTTTGTTTAAAAATATTTCAAAAATTATTTAGTTATTATGGNGTCCACTCCCAGAACCTGGGATACTTTGAACCATTGTGGGAGGTGGTGGTGCTGCACGTTTTTTAATACTCCCATGAGAATTTAGACCAACAACTATTAAAAACACATTTAAATATATTTATATATAAAATTATTATTCCAATTTTCTGGAAAGGACAAAATTCTCTTAGAGAAAAACCATGCATATCTCATCAGTGACCGAGATTTTATTTTATATAATTTGAATCATAACATTTAATTATTAAAACAAACTTGCTATAAAATTAAATATTTCCAAAATTTCAATTTTTTTCTTTTTTAATAGTAAAAAAAAATTACTTTAGAAAAATAGCAGTACTTGATGGTATCGTTATAATAATTGTCTTCTTCAGTCCAATCTGGGATAATTTTTATTTTTAAAAATCAGTGAAATAAAGCAAGCAGAACAGACCTCCCAGTTATTGCTATTTTCAATTTCAAATGTATTGATATAATATAAACTATTAATCTCATTTTTGCAATTACTTATTTACATGTAATGAAACAATTTCTAAAAAAGTTATTCTAATAAAAATATTTAATTCTTAATTTTAAATTAATTTAATTGTTACTTTCAAGAATTCATTAAAATTTCAATATGACATTTATAAAGTAATTTTTATGGAAACAATAATTATTTTTTATACCTATGCATTTAGTAGCAGTATTGAAAAGCATAAGTCATATATTGCACTAACATTAATACATTATAATTTAAAAAATACTACATTATATTATATTCAATAAATTTCCAAATAAAATGTTAGAAATAATTATCCGAAAGATTTCTCAATTCAAATTTACGGGTGAATTGTTATTTATAACTATAAACTAAAAAGACTATTCAATCAGTACTGGTAATGCTAACATTCAGTTTCTGAGCAGACAAAGATGTCAAATGATTTTAAATGGAAGTGTTTATACATAGTGGTGCAGTTCTATTCAGACAAGGAGATTCTGACAATCTTTGCTTGTTTTGTCTAGAATAATACATGTATGAAGCTTTGAACTTGTTGTAACAAGAAAGAACACAGATGGCTGGATAGTGTGAATTACATTCAGACAACTTTTGGCTTGCAGTAAGCAATTTCATCTGAGGTATACTATTATTATGAAATAAGTAAGGACTTTTCAAAAGTTACGTCTTATTTTTTAAGGAAATTTTCTATCTTCCTCATTAAAACATTGAAATCATACTGAGGCAGTCTAAAGGACTGAAAAACTTTTATGTGAAGAAAGTCCAGTATTATATGTGAATCTCTTTTTTTCAAATTAAACAAACACCACAACAACAATGTTTTATTTTCTCATCAACTTCATCCAAAAGTAATGCTATTACATATAAATCTTCAAAAGAAATGATTGAACATGTCACAGTCTGAAAGTCTGAGTATACTGTCCATATGGAAACTGTCAGTGTCTGAAAGAATGATGTAATTATATGCATGGCCAACAATAAGGCATAAATTTACCTTAGTCCAGCAATACTTAGAACTGATTATTATATTATATTCCCTGATATTATTAATAAGTAATTTTTTTTTCTAACTGTTCTTTGTGGATTACATTGAAGTAATTAATAAAATTATTGTTGGCACTAAAGAAAGTTCCCTTCCTAATAGATGAGAAGTACAGAATAACTAATGTACAGTACAATGAAACAATATTTTATCTATTTACTTTTATTTATAATAAGATATGTCAGTATTGTACAGTACATACAAACTTAAGAAATATTAGTAGTAAAGATTAACGAGTTCATGAATTTCTTTATTCCATTACTGTAAATTGTGACAGACTTTTTAAACTCAAAAAAAACTAATGTATGAGCAATAGCATCACATCCTCATTTTAGTTCTAGCTTATCATGAATTTGGGGGGGACAACTTATAACACAAGCATAAGTCTAAATAAGAATTTTGGGCTAAAAATCTTGAGTGACTTATATGTCAGACTGATTTATATGCCACAATTTATAATAAGTGTAATTCACTATAGTTATTATAGATAGTTATCTTCACATAATAAGGGTAGGTTTATCCTTATTATGTAAAGATAATTTGGCAGGAGAACAGTAAGGACAAAGCGGTCTGTATGGTACTGTACATGATCAGCAAAATTTCATTGGAGATAATCTCTGAAATATCATTAAATGCTAAGAAATTGAGTTGTTCCTTTAAAATGTTTTGTGTCTTTAGCTTTTGTCAGTTCATTTAATAGAATAGAAACTCTAAAATAAATAAAATTGTGCTAAATAATCTCTGAGCATTTATCACCTTTTTAAAAATAAATTAGAAAATTTTTTACAACCATCATTAATTTGTTTTTCTTTCAACTATATAAAACTCAAAATTCATAATTTAGACAATTATTTACCTAATATTGCTGAAAATCAATAGATTAAATTGGGCTAATTAAATGATTTAATAATTATAGAATTTAAACTATAGACAGTCATGTTGCCATCTGTTAAAAACTAATAAATTTGAATTAATTCAACTTATGATCCAAATCATATTGCTTTTTCCTGAAAGTGTGAGTTTTTGAAAATTTTTCATCTGGAAAATGCAATTTGAATTGGATTTTCTTTTCAGGAATTTCTTTAACGTGTATTTTTTAAAATTCATGTTTCATAATTAACAGATTCTTATTCAAATTAAGTTTAAAAAAATTTTTAAAAATAAATTTGGACTACACACATAGAAGTGGACAACTATCTGAACAACAGAAATTATGTAACTCAAATCCCTGACACATGTTCTAGTAAAATTTAGCTTGAAGACATGAGATTAAATGTTAACCTTCAAATAATCACATTCAATACAAAAACTCTCCCCTTCTTTAGATATACATTTCACATCTGAAAGTAACTCAATTATACAAAATGATATACATATAAGTGGGCAAATTGTTAATAACAGTTATCAAATACATCTCCAAATGACAGCAAAAATGTAAGCAATAATATATGCCTCTTCATTTTACATCCTACAAACTTTGATGTCTATCTTTATTGAGTCTGTGTCAATCTTGTCAAATGTGATTTCTCCAATTTAATGGTTAAGGCTTTCTTCCCTCATTTTTCTCTATCATCCATTTAATCTCTTCTTTATGTGCCTCACTAACCCTGCCAGGAGCATTTATACTTTCTCAGTAGTTCTACTAAGGAAGAATATCGTAAGTATAAGATAACTTCTTTTGAAAACGTTTATTGACTAGTCACCAGACATATATAAATTTTTGATTTTTATTGATGTAATTTGTTATTGATGTAATACATCCTTTATACAGTATTATTATATTTATGATCTAACTATGTCATCTGAGAATCATCTGGCAAAAATGATAAATAATCATTTATTTTTCAATTAAAGATGTATTTATTCTGAAATTTTTTCAGTTTGTAGATATAGTAGAGGGTAAACGGCAGTTATTGCCACTACCAGACTGTAACTGCCAATTTTGAATTTAAACCTCTTTAATAAGAGTTCTATAAATAGCTATTCCAGAAATATCACATGACAGCATTAATACAAGTTTCTGTTGTCAGTAGGTAGCAAAAAACCATGCAGATTTTTCTGTTATTACATGTGGCCAATAACTATGTAATTTTGCAATATTGTAAAACAGCATATTTTGAATTAAACAATTGGTGTTTGTAATTTCTAGATGTTGGTAGTAGAATAATTATAAAAAATGAATTCATCAAGTATAATCTTTCCTGATTTAATCATTGTTATGTCATAGAATTTTTAAAATAAAAATTCCTTAAGTGATCAATAACTGTACCGTTTACCTTATATCCATGTAAACAATTCGAAATAATCATGATACTGCTTGTTACATACATTTGTCCATGGTATAAGCTTGTAAGGTATGCTGGGACAAACTTTCATCATTCTAATATCTCATTTGTTTGAGACCCAGTAAAATGATGTTAAATAGTAATTTGATAATGTTTAAGATAATCACTGAATTCCATTGACAATTAACTTAAACAGCAGATTATCTCAAGTGTAGAGAAAAGCATTAATTATTATTACTACATAATAATCATATCTTCAATATGCTAAACTCGTCTGACTAAATAGCATATTTTTTAAGTTTTTTAATAGCTATGTTTTTGTCTCTTGATCCAAAATCATATGATATCTCTGTCAACTCTTAACAATTCTGAAATAATAGCAAAATTATATGTCATCTAATGAATTTTCTGCAAAATTTCAGCATAAACAACATCACTTTTTAAAGATTTTTAATTGAATGTATTTTCATTTATGTTTATGATATTTCTTTCATTGAAATAATTTGTAAATTCAATTGTTGACAATCAATCTAAAATAGTATCTTTCTCTACTTAAAGTGAAAATTTTCTCTTTTTAATACTTATAGAAATTGTTATTTTTCTTAACTGAGCCAAATTAAATATATATCATTGACTAACAAACTTATGAGATACTTGAAATTGATTATGATGTTTAAAATTTTTGAATAGGAAATTGTTTTCAAAAAGTAAACAGTTTGTAGTAATAAACACTTGACTCTACAAACAAAATCTGATTACAAATTGTATGGATTGTAACACCTTGTGCCTAAAATCCTATAATAAAACTGAATTTATAAACAAACCATATCCTCCATATTTTGTATTGTATTGTTGAAAATAATGCATTTCATATCGAGATTTGTAAGACATACATAAATGCAATCATATAGAGCTCCATTGGATTTTTATAGAAGACAGAACAGCTTTACCAAAACATATGATATACAGTCAAATCTATCTCAAATATCACCAGAATGAAAAAAAATTTGAGATAGACAGGTTTCGCAATATAGAGGTTCATAAATAGTAAACAGTAATAGGTTTGATTCGAAGTACAGTAATTTATTAATACAATAGCAAGTACAGAACATATCTGTATTAGGTATTAATAAAAGATTTTTGACAATATTGTAACAGAAACAGTTTGTCAATAGTTTCTGATGTCTAATTTTCTTAAACCAATAAGACAAAAGCCAAATTCGTAGCCAATCAGAAAAAAAAAACAGAATAACAGAATTAATGCAACTAT